AGCCACATCCCTGGGCATTGTGTGTGTGTGGGTGCATCCTATCTGGGTTCCATCCCAGGGTGGGGTTAGGACCCCCAAGGGTGAGATACAGTGGGCCCAGGGTCCCTGAGCTTCACTTGGGTTCTTGGTAGCATCCCCACAGTGAGTGGCTGATGGGCACGGAGGGCAGGTGGCCCAGAGAGGCACAGTGAGAGTCCAGACCTCCTTGCTCCAGGGCTAGGCTGCTGCTTTTTTTTTTTTTTTTTTTTTTGAGACAGAGCCTCAAGCTGTCCCCCTGGGTAGAGTGCCATGGCATCATAGCTCATAGCAACTTCCAACTCCTGGGCTCAAGCGAGTCTCCTGCCTCAGCCTCCCAAGTAGCTGGGACCACAGGCTCCTTCCACAATACCTGGCTATTTTTTGGTTGCAGCCATCATTGTTATTTGGTGGGCCCGGGCTGGATTCGAACCTGCCACCTTAGGTATATGTGGCTGGCGCCTTAGCCACTTGAGCCACACTGCTTCTTGATGGGAGTGATCAAAGGCTCTTGTTCCAGAGCTGGTGGCAAGATGTGGGAGTGGGGGTATGTGGCCACCATGCTCCAGAAAAACTAGAGCTGCTGTGAGTACTCAGGGACACGTCTGGGACTGCTCGTACAGTGCACCAAAGTTGGTATGTAGATGTTCATCACTGAGGTCCTTAGACTACAAGTCACTCTATAAAAATTATTTCATGACTTAAATTAAGGTGTGGTAGACTTTCTGTAGAGGACTCGTAATGGTGACTGTGTGCAGGCTCAGAATCCACATATTCTCTGTTGTGACCGTTTACTCTGTCCTTGTCATGAGAACAGTAAGCTAATGAATCAGCACAGCCAATTGTATTAGCCAAACCAAATGACCAAGTGGCAGGCCTGACTTATATGATGCACCTACTCAGTAAAGATGTTTAGAAAAATAAATAGCATGAGAATTGTTTAATGTCATAGTGAAAAAACATGGCTGATGTTTTGGTGAATTTGTCTTTTTTTTTTAAACATCTCTACTCATAACTGGGCCCCCACTGCATATGTGACTGTGTGCTTTTATTTCTTCACGTAATGCATATGGTAAGAGCATTCTGTTCAGAGCTGTCTCATAGAGCAGGTCTGGCTGCAGCATACTATATGTCATGTGGATCTGTCATTGCCTTATTCTGCCCCATAGTGGCCGAGCAGTGTGGCTGGAGTTATCTCGGTTTACATTTGTGTGTGTGGTGTGTGTTTTTCTCTTAGGAAAGAGGCAGTGGGTGTCTTTGTATGAAATCCTTTCTCCTTCATTATGGTCCCTAAAAGGGGAGCTGCAGGGTGAGCTTGTTTATGTTTAGGGACCTGCAATCTACATGTGATCTGTGGCCCATAGAACTGCACAGTTTAGCCCCATGTCCTATGCGGCTGGTTGCTGGTGTCATCCTCTAGAAGCTGTCAGCCTTGCTTGGGCTGGTGGGGTGATGATGGCCAACCCCAGCTTCCTCCTCTGGGACTCTTGTAGGAGCAGAGCTGCTGCTTTCCTCTCTTGTCAGAGGCTTCCCTCAGCCAGTCTCCAGCTTAAGTACCATGCAGCCCATTCTGATCAGTTTGGTGGTTGTGGCAGTGCTGGTGCTCTCAACGTGAGGTGCCATCTGAGAACCTGTTCTGTGCAATTCATGGTGCCAAGGAGGTACCCAGGGGGTGTCCACTCAGCCTGGCTACCACATCACCAGGGGCAGAAAGAGGCTAGTAGGGGTCAGGCCCAGCCTAGAGCATCAAGACCAAGTCCTGGTGTGGGGGTCACCAGGTATAGGCTGAGAGCCTGAAGTAGGTGAGGCCTCCCCATGGGTGGAAGGTGAACTCCAGGGTGTGGCAGGGGAGGTTCCTTTTGGAGTAAAGACCCTCTGTGGAGGCTGAGCCTAGCAGGGGGCCCACGCCATGTACTATGTACTCACTGCCTACATCCTTCCTGCACTCTGCCTCCTGCTTCTCCTCCCTTCTCTCTCTCCATAGGCTTGCTCAGCACTGAGGCATCACTGCCACCTGCTCTGGCTGGATTGGAGCAGGTGGTGCCCACTCAGCCACTCTCAGATGGCCCCACCCACGTGGCTCTAGTGACTGAGTTGCTGCATGTTGTGCCATGGTACCTGGGGCCCTAGAGTATGCTGAGGCCTTCAGGGGACCACTCAGACCACCTTTCCTGCATTCATGCCTGATTTCTCCATCAGAAACTAATGACATGGCCAGACTCCCCCTTGAGAGTGCACTCTGTCTCTACTGAGACTGGGGGGGGGGGTGCTAATTTGGGTGGCAGGAAGTGAGAACAGGCAGGAGGTGTCAACTTGAGAAACTCCTGTAGATCTTCGCAAAAATATATGTCCCAAAGGGTTGGGAATAGGACTGGGGCTGGCGGCAGACAACATGACCTGGGGTTTCAATAATGAAAGCAGATGATGGGCTTTGCTAGCCTGTGTCCCTTCCCTCCCTGGGCACCAGTTTGGAAGCTACCCTGAGGACTCTGACCCCTCCCTGGCTGTAGCACCCTGCTAACAGAAGAGGACAATGGTGGTGCCTGGTAGTGGGGCCCCAGCATGTCCAGCCCAGGAGGTAGCTTTTAAGAAAAAGTTAATCTCTTCATGGCTTTAGCAAATTCCTCTCCCAAACTGTTGGGCTAAAACAAGGAGACCCCTACTCAGCTGCCCAGCACTTGGAAATGCCTGTCCTGTGTCCTAAATCCACAGGGCTGTTACTCCCTTCCCTGGCACCGCTCCCTGCAGGGCCTTCCCTCCTCCCTCTTGTTTCCTTCTCAGGTGCCCACACTTCCCAGATCCCTACAGAACCCTTATGGACACTTGGGTACCAATGTTTCCAGCTACCACCATTCTGTCAGGTATCCCACAGCACCTGCCACCTTGGATGGCTTACACCAGCAGCATCAGCCCCTGAGCATAGGACATATCAGTAGCCGGGCCAGCCATGGCTGGGCAAGGGGGCTCAGGCCCAGTTCCAGGTCACAGTGACGCGGTCCGCAGAGCGTGTCTGCATGGCCCCTCCATGGGTGCACACAGGTGTTTTTTTTTTAATTACTTAAGGAAAAGCAATTGCAAAGCCGCTTGATACAAATCCCTTAAGCCGCTGTTAATGGTGACACTGGGGAGGCCGAGGCCCAGCCAGGAATCAGAAACATGGGCACCATCTGTGCAACCTCTCCTCCGCAGCCAAATCACGCCGCCAGCCTTTCTATCCTGCACAGTTTTTCATTAAGTGAATTGAGTTTGCTGAGAACCATTTGGCCATAAATATTCCCTCCTGCTCAGCTCGGGTTATAACTGTTCCCCAGTCCCTGCTCCCGATCCAGCAGAAGGTTCCACAGCTACCCCTGGGATCAGGGAACGGGCGTGGATGGGAGCTGCAGGAAATTCCACTGGAAGGTTTCCGCTGCTACCTCCTTCCACATCAGATTTGGGGTGGTAAATATTTCAGTGTTTCCAGAACAAATTGAGGGGTATTTGGAAGGGCTTGTCAGGGCAAGGTAACATAATGGTTGAGTTCAGTTAAGTCTTTACCATTCTGATTCCTTTGTTTCTATTGAGAACACAGTGATGACAGCAAGCTGGGTACTTAAAACAGAAATGTAACATTTTAAGCTACATTCTTTTGGATATGGGAAAGTTCCAAGTAGGCTTCTGAACTGCAAGGGTTGGCAGGAGGTTGGAGCCACCCTGTGTCCCTGGGCATGCATCTCCCTATGAGGAGGGGGACCGAGCCCCTTTCAGAGGAAGGGAATGGCCCCCCCATCCCTGAACTTCCCCACAGCCCTGGAGAAGGCTCCCATGGCTGCTTTATCCTTCATAGTCTAGACCAGCAGTTGCTGCCCTATGGCCTGCATTTATCAAAGTTTTACTGGCACACAGTCATGCCTGCATGTTTGTACATTGTGATGCTTTTGAGCCACAACAGCTGCAAGTGAGGTGAGCCAGAACCCAGGGCTGCCTAGCTACCTCCTGATAGCTAAGTGATGGTCGCAGGAAAAGCTGCTTGGGCTTCTGGCATCTTACCCTCTGGGGTGCCCAGCTTCTCTGGCTCCCTAGTCCCTGAAGAGTTGAGTGTCTCCAAGTTACCTGCAGTGCCTCCCTCCCATTGCCCAGTGTGGCACAGAGAGGAGGGAAGTGGAGGCAGAGCCCCTAGAGCAGTAGTGTAGAGAGGGGCTCTTGGGGCGCAGAAGGGTAGGAGAACCCTTTGTCATACCCAGTCCTTACCATGTGCTTGCTGCTTGCTTGACCTTTCTAAGCACAAGTGTCCATCCTGTTCAGGGCATGGTTGCTTAAGTTGAGCAAGAGGCCACTTGTGCCTGCCTCAGCATGTAGCATTTTAGCTCCATTTCTTAGTGGCTGAGTCACTGAGACTCTCAGACCTTCAACTTCATCTTTAGATAGAGACAGCTAGATATGGTGTATAGGGCCCTTAGGCCAGCCCTGCCCCTCAAGAGCCCCCAGGAGTCTGTGTGTTTCCCCTTGTGTTTTCTGAGCTCTCTGGGAACACTCTGCTTTTCCTCCCTTCCTGGCCCTCTTGGAACAATTGCTGCTATAAGACCTTCTGTGTTGGTTTTTATGTCTTCAGAGAGGCATGTGCTTTTGAGAAGAGAACCATTTTTGTTTGAACCGACCAAAGGGAGCGGAACCTCAGCCACGCTGGCCTCAGGGCTGCTGAGTGCCGGAGCTCAGCCTGATTCTTAAGCTCTCCTCCCTGAGCAGAGGGTTCTGCTCTCCAAATGCTGCTCTTGAATGTTTGCTTATTGGTTGTCATAACTCCAAGGGGCAAGCCAGAGATTTCACAGTTGGGAACACGTGGGGCTTGAGAAAGGATGTTTGGCAGCCTCACCTGTTACTGGAGAAAAGATTTCATTTCCTGCCTTGTGACAGTTCTAGAAATGAGAAGCTGGGTAAAGGGCTGTGTAGGGGAGGACGAGGGCCATGGTGCCAGGGGCTCAAGGCGCCCATCCCCTGTCCTGCAGTGCACATGCCGGAAGGACATGGTGAAGATCTCCATGGATGTGTTCGTGCGCATCCTGCAGCCCGAGCGCTACGAACTGTGGAAGCAGGGCAAGGACCTCACTGTGCTGGATCACACCCGGCCCACGGCCCTCACCAGCCCTGAGCTGAGCTCCTGGAGTGCCTCCCGCGCCTCACTGAAGGCCAAGCTCCTCCGCAGGTGAGTCTCTGAATGGCTGCCACTGTAACCCGCCCCAGTGGTGACAGTAAGTGACCCCTGCTAAGGCCCTCCCAACCTCAGGTCACTCCCCACTGGCAGGGGTCCTGTGCCCCCCCATCCCTGCCCCCTGTGTCTCTCCCTACTTTTGGGGCACAGTGTATGCTTTGGGCTGACTAGCCCAAGGGGGGCAGTGTTGGTGTTGCCTAAACATGCATGTTCCCCTTATTCCTTGCTGCACCACCTTCCAGGAGGCTGCCCCTGGGGTCGTAGGGGCTCTTTGACCTGAGTCTTCCAGGGTGACAGAAGCAGGTCATACCCGACATGACTGCCTGGTTTCCTCTTGGGGCAGCACACAGCATTCCTCTTGCTCACCCTGTTTCTGCTGTTAGGGCTTCTTAGTCCCCTGAGGTGAGAGATAGCAGGGGCTGTGCCAGGCCCATGGGGTGCCAGGTGGGGCATGGAGCCCCTGCCCCCTGCATCTGTATTTGTTCACGTTAAGGGGAAAGTATTGCTTGCATTGAGATCCTGGACCCCAGCCTTTCAGGGTAAGCCTTGTTCCAGCTCAGAATCCCTCACTGCAAATTGGAGGATCTCTCTGCTGTGCAGAGCCCTGGTCCCTGCTCATTAGGACAATGCATGCACTCCCAGCCTGCATTGGGAGGGGTGCCTGGTGAGGGGTTGGGGGAGTATTGCAGTCTCTTGGCCTGTGTTTGCCCCAGGTCATGGACAAGTTGGGGAAAACTTATCTTGGTTGAGAAGCAGATAGACTTCACACTTGGAATGAAAAGACTTTAGGCAACTGGAAGCAGCTTCTGTTGGCTACTCTCAGATAAGTTGATGACAGGTCTGTTCCTTGTGGGTGCCCTGCAAGCAGTCCTGAGTGTGAGCTGGACCCGAGAGGGCCAGCACAGCATAGGTTTAGCTGACTCTCCCCAAAAAGGGCCAAAGAGCTAACTAGTGACTCTATGTAGGTGGGACCCTCTCTGCCACAGTGGCTTGACCACACCTTTACAGCGCAAAGCCACAGTAATCAATAGGCATTTAGTACATGTGCACACAACTATGTCTGCTGAAACTTTATTTATGGACACCGAAAGCTGGATATCATAATTCTCCTATGCTGCGCAATATGATAATATTTCTTTTTTGAGCCATTTAAAAATGTAAATACCATTCTTAGCTCGTGGGCTGTACCAAATTAGGCCATGGAGGGATCTGGTGTTTAGACTAAAACTTTCAGCCCTAGAGTGGAGGGTGGTCTCCCCCTCACCTTTGCGCTTTTCTTTCTGCAGCTGCTCGGTAACTTCTGGCTCTATCTTGTCCCAGCTGGTAATTAATAGTGCCCACCCAAGGCCCAGGCACTGAGCATCAGGGTTGGGGGCAGCTTGGCCAGTTCATTTCCAGTGATGCCTCCCACCCTTTATAGAAACAGGCCTTGGAACTGGTTTCTGTGAAAAGTCACCCCCAGTCTAGAATGTTCTTCCCTACTCAGGCTGCAGGTCCATGAGTTCAGGTGGTCCTACCCTCACCCACGTGCTTTCTCCACTGGGACCCCTCTCTTGGAGAATGTTCTGTCAGCTTAGAATGTTTTTCACATCTCTTTCTGGCAGCCTACATAGAGGTGAGCTCTTTTCCGGTTCCTTTTGTTGTTTGTCTCTTGGATTTCCTGTTCTTTCTCCTCTATGCAGGCCCCACAGCCCCCCCAGGGCAAGCTGAGCACCCCCAGCTCCCAGCCAGGATATGCTATTTGCATAATGGCTAATTGATTGTGGCTAAGGCTAATTGGTCAACAGAGCTGATTGCCAATAAGCGGGTGCTGCATTCTGGGGAGTGGAGTGGGATTAAGGGCTAGCTAAGATCCTGCCAGGAAGAAGCCAGGCAGACCACTGCGTTCACTGCTACTGGGAAACTTCTCTGCTACAGGCCTAGACAGCCTGCCCCACTGCCCCTCTTTCTGCCAACACCCAAGTCACAAGCTGTTTGTTTCTGGAGTGTCCCCCTTTCCCACCATCCTGGAGAGGTGCAGAATCCACCTGAGGGACTGAATAACAAGTCCTATTTGCAAGGATATCATTTCTATAAAGCCTTTAGTATATAAAACAAGGCTGAGTCCCTTTTTTTTTTTTTAAGTCACAGGGGTGCTTTTCTCTGTAAAGGGTGATTGGTGACTCATGTTTGAAAGCCTGAGCCTGGCACTCTCCTTCTTCCCAGGGTGGCTGGTTCTCAGAAGTTGCACTGTGCCCCTCCCTTGCCAGCACTCCCCACATGGCTCATCCCTGCCCCTAAACTGAGCACCCCTGAGCTTCAGAATGCTTATTTTAGGGCCTAGGGGTACTGTCTGAATGTTCTTGGCTGGACTCTGATAAGGGGAAAGTGAACTTGGTTCACTTGCTAGACAGGGGCCTGTGGACACTGGGCAGGTCATTCTCTGAGGTGGGGCTATCTTGGGCACTGTAGGATACTGAGTGGTGTCTCTGCTTCTGTGTGCTCTGTGCTAGGAGCAACCCTCAGTGTGATAACCACAGATGTCCTCAAGTGTTACCCAGTGTGCCCTGGTTGGGAATCCTTGCCCCAGACCAAGGGATGGTGTCAGGGTGGACCCACATGCTCACTGTTCTAAGAGCCTTCCTTACCTTTGGAATGGCTATGAGAAGATCCCATGTGCTCATTAGGTGGCACCTCTAGCTGATGCCAGCCTAGACATTAGCTCCCCAGGAGGCAGCTGGGTCACTGTAGCCTCCAGAACTAAAAGAAAATGCTCTGCTCCACCATAATGCCTTTCTGTGGATTTATTTTCCGCAACTACGCCTTGCTGGGTGCACTGACCCCCCACTCGTGGCTATTTGTATTTTTCTCCATGGTGAACAGGACACCTGATACTGCTGCATTGCTGGCTGTCAGCATCCTTCCCCTGACCCTGGGTGATGCTGTGTAGCTTAGGGCCCTGCCCCCTGCTGCCATCTTCTCCACACTAATGCCAACACCACGCTCCACCCTGTGCAGATGAGCTTTTCATCTTGGCTCCTTCCAGTGAAAGCTTAAGCTATAAGAAATACCTGCTCCAGCAGGAGTGCACATGCCTTGCACAGCACCTACCATGTTTCCCCGAAAATAAGACACTGTCTTATATTTATTTTTTCTCAAGAAGACACACTAGGGCTTATTTTCAGGGGATATCTTCTCTCCACACCGAAATGCATGGCGTGATTATGCAGATACGCTGCATAGCCACACCTATCACTAGGTCTTATTATCAGGGTAGGGCTTATATTTAACAAATGCATAGAAATCCTACTAGGGCTTATTTTGGGTGGGTAGGTCTTATTTTCAGGGAAACATGGTATGCTTCCTACCTGGGTGGAAGCTGGGAAATAAGCACATCCTTCTTTCTGGAACCTGTCTCACCTCAGCCTCTGCAGGACACAGGGAGGCTACTCCGTGGCTGTCACCAAGCCTGGTCCCATGGCTCCCACCAACACTACCTGGCCACTCTTGGTCCAGCCTTCCCCACCTGCTGCCACACTGTTAGCCTGACTGGACCTTGGGCCTCTTCTGAGTTCCATGCTGCTGTCCCTGCTGCCTGATACCACTGTACTGCAGGCCAATATCCTCCCACTGCTTCTATACCCCCCCATTCCCACCAGTGCTGCCACAGCCTGCCATGTCCTGAGCCCTTCCCCACAAACATGGTGCCTGGTACACAGGGACAGGCCCTCATGACCAGTGTGCCCTGACAGCTCCTGCTGACCCTGGAACTAGGAGCTCCAGGAAGTCTGTGTCTCCTACATTTGTTTTCCTCACACAGCCCTGTAGTTTCTCAAAAGGGAAATTCTTTGAATGATGCACAGACCCTTGCCTCAGGGGCAGCAAGTGCAGGGAAGGAAGGGAGCTGGTAGGAGAAGTTGTGGCACTGAGGGCACAACCTAGGGAAGGCCTAACAGCCACCCCGATCCTTGGGGCAGGGCTTGGGTAGCCCTGACTCTCTCTGGGGTGTGAGCAGACCTGGCGCTTTGGGGCAGAGCCCAGCTGCCCAGCTGCCTGCCTGCCTCCTAAGGTCCAAGGGATATCTGCTTTCACCTTGAACATATTAGCACCATTATTTTGACTAAGTCCTAACATTTGGTTTGTATAAGCCAAGTAGTATCCACTGAAGCCTGGCAGGTAGGGTCCATGTTCTTCTCCACTAAGAGGTCAAGCAGTGGCAGAGAGGACAGGAGGGAGAGAGTGGCTGCAGAGCAGTGGCAGCAGACTTTGAAAAGAAGGAAAGGATGAGCAGGAGGTGACTGCCTTGGTAACACAGAAAAACCACAGGCCCACTGTGGAGAGGATGGCCAGTGGGAGCAACTGGATGGTGCCTGGGCTCCTCCTGGGTTGGGGGCCATGGTGGGTTGGCATGAGGGCAGCTTTGCTAGGGTACATGAAGAATGGCTGGGCCCAAGGGCCTTCCCCAGTCCCCCTATAGCTGTGGCTGTCCCCACCCATGCCATGCCACTCATCTGCCAGCAGAAGGTGATGGGTGGCTTTGGGTAGGGGCAGTGCAGTGCCTTTTCTGAAGTGGAGTGCTGGAGGCCTGGCTGCCAGTCTCATGCACCACCACCTCAAGGGCCAAAAAGGACGACACAGGGTTCCCTTCTGGATAAAAGAGGGGCCCAGTGGAACAAAACTAAAGACCCTAATAGCAGAGTGCCCTAGAGTGGGAGCCTCCTGTGTCTCTATACCCTGGGGCTGCATCCACACTGTTACTTACGTGCTCAAAGCCACCAACAGTGGACAGCTAGGGTTCAGAAACATCAGAAGAAACTCTCCAATGGGAAAGACAGGGTCTAAGAAAGGGAAAGAGAACATGAAGCAAGCAGAGGAAGCCTGATGACCCTCAGAGTGAGGAGATGGCTTTGCATTCAGAAAGGAAGGCCTGTTACTCTAAAGAAGAAATGTTTAGGGAAGAGATGACCCTCAGGTAAGAGTGGATATGTGAGCCAGGCAGGGGACAGCTAGAGGAAGCCTCTGTTGGAGCATAGGCAGAAAGGTGGAGCTAAAAAGGAGGAGGCTCAGTCCAGGAAATCAGCCTTGAACTGGAGTTTCAGAAAAAGAAAAAAGAAAAATTTCCCATGATCCAAAGACTTTGCATTTCCTCATTAAGAAGTCTGGTCAGAGGATGAAAATTACCCACAACACATCACTGTGAAATTTCACAACTCTCTTGGGTAAAGAAAAGATATCAGAAGCTTCCACAGTGAACAAATAATTCAACATAAAGAATGAGGAATCAGGCCCAGAGTGGTGGCTCATGCCTGTAATCTCAGCACTTTGGTAGGCCAAAGCAGAAGGATCACTTGAGGCTTGGAGTTTGAGACCAGCCTGGGTAACACAGTGAGACCCTGTCTCTGCAAAAACTTTAAAATATTACTGGCTATGGTGGTGCACTCACCTGTGCAGCTACTCAGAAGGCTAAGGCAGGAGGATAACTTGAACCCAGGAGTTTGAGGCCACAGTGAACTGTGATATTGCCATTGTACTTCAGCCTGGGGACAGAGAAAAAGAGAGAATGAAGACTATTGCTAGATTCAGATCTACGGTCATAATGTTGCAAGCCAAAAGATGAAGAACAGGTCTTCAAAAGGTAGAAGATGACCAATGAAATCCCCTCCCAGAAATACAAACCTAGCCAAATCACCAATGAAATGTGTGAGGGGAATAAAGGGCTTTTTAGACATGCGAGTTTCAGATGTCACCTCCTTTCTTGGAGAGCTGCTGGAAGATGTATAGCTAAACAAGGGCTTTAGCTGAAAAAGCCAGGGGATGAAGGACCAGGAGATCCCATCCAGAGAGCGGTGGAGAAGGCATGGAGGTAGACAAGGGCAGCCAAGCCCTCTGTGTTGGGAAATTGCAGAGGAAATCAAAACCATTAGGATGTGTCCCCCCACTGGGGCCAGGGCGGGCTGGGCTCGTGGGGAAATCAGGGTGTGGCTCACAGGCATGGGGACACCCCTGGCTGGCTGTGGGGCTGAGGCTGGGTCAGATGTAGCCTTCAGGGCATAACAGGGTGAACAGAGGGGTTGAGGCACCAGTGGCAGCCACAGGAAGCTGAGGCAGGTGAGTCAGAGTGGGAGGTGCCCTTGTGTGGGTGCTGCCATGCCAGGGGTGGGGCATATGTGGGAGAGTGGTATCTGAAGCCAGCTGCACCCCATCCCTGGGTCCTGAAGCTCCCACCCTTGAGCCCACCATCTTCAAGCAGGGCAAGCAGCCAGCACTTCCCAGACCCCAGTGTAGAGCCCAGGACTATCTGCCCATCCCTAGGAGGGAGGGATGGCTCCCATGTCTCCTTACCACCTCCTTTGACCTCCTGTGTCCCTACCTGTCCCCTGCCCTCCCCTTGCCACTTCAACCTCGTGTGCACATGCATGTGTGATGCCATGCCTCCCCACTCGCTTTCTGCCCTGCATCATCTTGTGGCGGGCCATGCTGCACACATTGGGAAGCACTGACTCTAGTGAGTTAGGCAGCCAAGAAACAAGGGGGCCTGGCAGTGATGCATGTTCTGGGGACAATGGAAAGAGGTGGTCCAGGAAGGCTTCCCCAAGAATGCACCCAGGAGCCAGCATGGGATGTGCTGGGTAGTGGCCAGGTCCAGTGTCCTGGGGGAGCAGAGGCTGCTGTGTGACAGCCTGGCTCCATTGGGGATGGAGGTCCTGGCAATAGACGCCCTGGGGCCCCCTGGGCCCCACCCCACTCAGATCACCAACCCATCTTGGAGATGGCTTGGTCCTTGGAGGTGTCAATGCAAGAGGGTCCCCATGGGGTTAAGGTGCCCAAGTCTGAGCCCATAGGGACAAGTGCCTTGGGAAGCACCCCAGAAGCTACAGCTGATGCTCCCAGCTCTGCTTGTCTGCTCAGGGTTTGATGTGGCTGAACCTTAATTGGGGAAGGGGAGAGAGGGAAGCTGGGCTGTAAGGTCTCAACTTACATAAGGGGACTCAGCTAGGGAGACCCTGGCCACTCACTGGCAGGCTCTCTCACCTTCCTCACTACTTCTTCTTCCTTTTTTGCTTGTTCTCCCCTGCTTCTAGTAAGTTGTAGCTAAGGTAGGCCTGCAGGCCTTCTGTTGACCTCACTGGGGGCTGGCCTGCTGTCTGCCCAGTGTCTTGGCACTTCTTGTGCTCAGGCTGTGCCCTGCAAGCAGATCCTGGTCACAGGGCATAGAGGGAGCATCTTACAGGTCTTGGGGGCCATGGCACAGGCCAGAGGAACCATGCGGGGCTTGGGCTTCTGCACATCTCCTGGGCTGTAGAGAGAGGCCCTAGGGAGTTGGACACAGCAGGTGCCCACAGCAAGGCCTCAAACGAGCCCTCCTGGGGAGTTGAGCTGCATCCTAGAGAAAAACTCCCTGAAATTTACATTCTAGACAAATTAGTCTGAAAGAAAACAGACACTGGAAAAAGACTGAGGAGGAGAGAAAACCAAATCTAGAAAGGAAGAAAGAGCAGACCAAAAAGCCGGGGCTGTCGTAAGTGTCTTTTTTGTTCCGTTTGTCATCCAGGCATTTTTCCATGAGCTGCCGTTTCCCCAGAGTCACTCTCCTATGTCTCTGTCCACCACACACTGGATCTTACAGCCTGGTCCTACCTGCCATCCCATTTGGTGTCAGTCGGCTTCCCATCTGCAGCTGTCATCAGCACTCGGCTTGACACACCCCCATTGTTCCCGCTGTCCCTCTCCCTTGATTTCTCTTCCCTCTGCAGCCCCTGTACCTCTCCCATGTCCAAGAGCAAAACCCCATTCTCTGCCCCACCTCTAGAGCCATGTGGCTACCTGCCATGGCCTGTGTACAGACAGGGGCTCCCTTGTCTTGCCTCCCCTCCTGCCTGATGAATGACCTTCTCTAGGTCTCACCGGAAGCGGAGCCAGCCCAAGAAGCCCAAGCCTGAAGACCCCAAGACCTCCGGGGAGGGTATGGCTGGGGCAGGCCTCCTGGAGGAAGTGGGGGGCTGTGTGAAGGAAGAGGCTGGGCCAGAGGCTGATCCCGAGGAGGATGAGGAGGAGCCACAGCCAACATCACATCTTCGGGAGGCCGAGGGCACAGAAGGTCAGTCCCAGCTAGGGGAGGCCTGGCACCTGTCTGGCCCTAGTTGGTGTCTCCTGAAAAAAGCCAGCACCTCCTGCAGTAGTGTTCCTGCTGTTTAAGGATCCTGGTGTCACTTTCTTTCCAGCGTGGGGGCTAATAGACCTTATGGGGTAACTTCTATAACAAATACTTCTGCTCCCAAAATTGAAGAGAGAAAACCCCCTGCTTCCTGCAGCCCAAATGCTGGAATGTCCTGCAGTGGGGATGGCCCCTTGAGCAAAGCCCCCTGGGATCCCCCTGTCTTAGAACTTCTAAGACATAGGACACAGCCATTGGTGGGAATGTGATATAGGAGTCCCTCAGAGGGTGGGGGCCTCAGAAATGTGCCCTTTAGTCTGTGAGTGTTGTGAATGCACCCTGCACCCATGTTGCACAGTATTCCTTTTTCTTTTCTGTGACTGGGTTTCATTTTCCTAATTCATAGCCTTAACTCAGTGGTTCTCAACCTTCCTAATACTGCGAATCTTTAATACAGTCCAAAGGGGTCGCCCATAGGTTGAGAACCGCTGCTTTAGCTTCTCACATGTCTGGATACATGGCAGCTCCCCAGGTGGAAACAAGCCCTTCCTGGGAGGGCACATGAGGCGTGTGGGCTGCCTCTGGCCATGGGCCGTATATCACCAGAGTCTCCTGCTGGATCCTCAGTTTCCCTCTGTGTGGGCCCACTGTGACCTTATCTGCCTGTGACAAGGTCACAACTCCAACAGAGCTTAGGGAAGGCAGGCATATGCCCCACCTGCCCCTCATACACGAGCAGTGGGGAGTGTCTGCGTTCCTCTGTGGGAAGAGTGGCAGTCCCCAGGGAAACTCTACAGAGGCCTAGGAAGGGAGGGGAGACACATGGATGACTTTGCCCCCAACATGCCACCACTCGGTAGGAAGTCTGGATTCTACTTGTTCAGCATGATTCAGAAGGGTCAGCCAGCAAGAACAGCAAGGCAGGGAAAGAAAAGGCATCATAGCAAAGGGAAGGAAGACACAGGTGCTATGGCATTATTTGCAGGTGGACATGATTATCTGCATAGGAACACAGATGACTGTAGACAGAGTGACAGGGATTGAGCACAGCTGGTGCAGACTGTGCTTGATACACAGGAGCCAAATCTTGCTTCTCATACCCAAGCCACTCACAGAAGACATAATCTTCAAAAAGATGACATTTGTAATGATCACAACCAAAAAGCAATGTACCTTGGAATAAACCTGACCAAAAAAATAAAGCCCTTTGGAGAGAATTAGAAACTTCTGATAAAAAAGAATTGCTAGATAAAGACAGCAATATACCAGGTATTAGGAGAACTCCCCACCACGCAGATAGTTTCCTCCCAAATTATTTGCAGGTTTGGTGCAGTCCTGTGCAGGGTCCAGCAGGTGGGGGCTATTAATGATGAGGCCAGACAGATGCTTTGCATGTAGATGGAGATAGCCCCAGGAATAGAGGGCTGCAGAGAACCTGGGACTTGTCCTGCCAGACAAGGAGACTGGCCAGCAAGCTTATAGAACCTAAGCAAAGATGGACAGATCAAGGATCCAGGAATGGGACCCTAGTGCAGGGAATACATAGTGAGTGATGGGGAGAACCTATCCCTCCTACCCTGCATGCCCACATAAGCTCCTTGTGGCCACTACAATAAATGATCACACCCTTTGTTGTCAAAAACAACACATATTTATTCTCCCACAGTTCCGGAGTCAGACGTCTGACACAGGCCTCACCAGGCTAACATCAAGGTGTGTCAGGGCTGGTACCTGCTAGGGTCTTCAAGGGGAGAACCAGCCTCCCACCTTTTTCAGCATTTAGAGGCTGCCCACATCCCTTGGCAGCTTGGGGCCTCTTCCTCCCCTTCAGAGCCAACAGCGCAGCATCTTCCAGTCCTGCTGCCTCTGAGCTTCCTGGTTCCTCGTGTAAGGACATTGGGCTCCCTGGGTCATCCAGGATGACCTCTCATCTCAGGGTTCTTAAGTCAGTGCCACCTGCAGAGCTGTGAGGTGATATCCACAGGTCCCAGAACTGCCACATGGCCTAGATAAGAATTGATACTATAAAAACAGATTTTTTAAGTGTGTAAACACAAAGTAGTAAAACATTTTATAACCTTAGGCTATAGTAATTTTTCATTAAAAAGCATAAACCAGAAAGATAAAGATTGACACACTTGATTAGTTTAAAATAACTGGTGATTAGCACAGTGCACCTTTAAGAAAATGAAAGGAAAAGCTGACATGGGAATGATATTTGTGTCCTATCACTGGCCAAGGGCAAATAAAGGGTTCCTTAGGATCAGTGAGATGCTCAACCCAGCAAAAAACGGCCCAGAGGAGGAAACAGCACAGACCAACAGAATCCTGCACTCTGGGAAATGTACGTGAAAATGCTGTTGAGACCCCAGAGATGAAAGCATCCACTCTGGCCCAGCAGTGACCAATGCCTGCATCAGTGTCAGCCCTGTCCACTGCCACCTGAGACCTGAGTTAGTCCAGGTACAGCTTTGGAGACTGGCTTGGCCCATCTTGCAAAGTTGAACATTTGCACACCATATATTCAAAGTTCCCGGATCTTGTGCCCTGGAGCAAGGACTATTCACAGGAGTGGGGACAGGCACATAGATTCCTGCTGATGGAAAAGGGACGAGAAACTGGCACCTACTGATGCCCTCCTTTCCTCTGCAGGTGTGAGCCAGGAAGGACAAGGCTCTACACCCCAGGGACTCACAGATGTAATGTTGCAGGTTGTAGGAGCACAGGGTTTCATTTGTGTAAAGTCCCTCAGACTAGGAGGTTTAAACCACAGAAATGCATTCTCTCTCGGTTCTGGAGGATGGAAATTCAAGATCAGGTGTGGGCAGGGCTGGTCCTCTTTAAGGGCTGTGGGAGGACCTGTCCCAGGCCCCTGTCCTTAGCTCCTAGTTGGCATCTTCCTGTTCTCATAGCTTTCCCATGTGGGTGTCTGTGCCCAGATGTCCCCCTTTCATGAGCACATTGTGAGTTGTATTGGATCAAGGTCCACCTTAATGATCTCATCTTATCCCCGCAATGATGCTATTTCCAAAGAAGGTTGTGTTCTGAGTCCTGGGGGTTAAGACTGTAGCACATGAGTTGCAGGATGACTTACCCATGGCACAGTCTCTGTACTCAGCAAAGCAACACCAGCTAGCTACTCAGTGGTCTGCTTGTGGGGGTTGGGGGATGTAGGTGTCTGCAGGACTCTCATCCTTTAGGCTCTATGTCTGCACTGCACACACTCCAGGACCTATGAAATGCTCAGAAGCACATGCTTGCTCCTGCAGGTGTGCCAAGTGCAGGTTGTGTTGGATAAATAAGAGTTTTAGAGGTGGGCACCTATCATGAGGGCCCTGTGACTTGTAAGCAAGTGTTTGGCAGTGTGGGGCCCAGAAGAGGTCAGAAGGGGAGGGAGTGATGTGGTCAAGAGGGTAAGCGCAAACCAAATTCCTCATTTTTACCATGGTACACATGTGCAGAGCTGCACTAGCTACTCACCATCCTCTTTAAAGACCTACAGGGTTACTCAGTTCCACTTGAGGATCCCTGGGTCCACACACCCCAAGAGATGGTCACAGGGGTGACCTGTGATGGTCAGAGGCTGAGCCTTAGGCACGTCACTCCAAGGTCTGGGGCTTCCGTTGGCTTCTGAAGGGGATGTCCCCCTACAGAAGAGCTAGATAACAGCTCAGAAGGTCAGGGGCCACTTGGAGGCCCTGTTCTTGAGAGAAGCCACCCTGGAGTCTCTGCCCAGCTCCTGTCCCTATTTGTCCTGGCACTGGCCTCGCAGCCGCTGAACAAGGGCTATGCATGGATGGGGCTTTCTATAGTGAGAGGTGAATTGTGGATGCTGTGTCCAAACCCAGACCCCATTAATCATCACATTGTCTCCAATTTAGCATGGAAAGAGATGGGTTCCTTTCCCTCCATTTTTCCTTGTTTTCCCTGCTTGGACAGGGGAGGCAAAGGTAGTAAAGTTATCAGCAGGTTTGCTCTAGGCTTTCCAGTTTTAGCACTGAAAGTTTTAGCCCTGGATGGTAGGACCTGATAATCAGCCAACATCATCACTTGTGTGATACGCTAGACACACGAGGCCACTGAGCTTAGCCAAGGTTCCATCCTCTGGAAAAAGTGGGTCAGGCCCCAGGGTCTGCAGGGTGGGGCATAATAGGCTGGTTTTCCTTGAGGGCAGGGGTCCAAAGTGTCACATCCCACCTTGCCCTCATCCCTCCAAGGAATCACCATCTGCATGAGCTTTCTGTGGCCACTATAACAAACCACCACAAGCTAATGGCTTAAAGCAACATGTGTATCTTATAGCTCTAGAGAACAGAAGTTTGACATGGGCCTTACTCAGCTAGAATCAAGGTGTGATAGGGCTGGTCCCTCCTGGGGGCTTCAGGGGGAACACGTCTCCTGCCTTTTCCAGTGTCTAGAAGCCACCACATCCCTCAGCTCAGGGTCCCTCTGTCTACCTTCAGAGCCAGCAGCATAGCATCTTCTAATCTTTTTCTGTCTCTGACCCTCCTGGATCCTCGTGTGAGGACCTTGTGAGGACACTGGGACCCCTGGATCATCTAGGGTGATCTCCTATCTCAAGCTCTTAACTCTATCTCCTGAGTGGAGTCTCTTTACCATGTGAGGTGCTGTATATCCATTAGAGTTAGGACCTGGAAATCTTTGAGGGCCATAATTCAGCCAACCATACTCCCCATCTCGGTTTTATATTTGATTTACAACACACTGGTCATGGCTTCGAATTAAAATGCCACTAAAGACGCACCTACCTGGCCCTTCACCTGTTGCTTGTCAGGTAATTCCCTCCTAGATTCACCCAGGGGTTCCCAGGTAGAAGCCCACCTAGCACTCCTGTTCCCTCAAGCGACCTCTGGTTTGTGGTTCTTTCTTTAAAGCAAGGGTCCTCAAACTTTTTAAACAGGGGACCAGTTCACTGTCCCTCAGACTGTTGGAGGGCCAGGCTGCGGGCCCTGGGACGAGTCAGCTGTTAAGCAGGACAGGCAGTGGTGGTAAAAACACCCGGCAGGCCGGATAAATGTCCTCGGTGGGCCACATGTGGCCTGTGGGCCGTAGTTTGAGGACGCCTGCTTTAAAGTTTTGCTTTTGAAAAATTCTTTCAAGTTCCTGTGCATGTTAATGGTAGAAATATATAAAATTCAGATATGTGGAAAGAAAACAAATGTTGCTTCTTTCTGACACCCACCCGGGGGAATCATGACATTTAGCGCAGCCCGTCCAGACAGGTGCCTCCAAACCCAGAGAAGCCCCCTCCCAGTGAGCTCTTGATAACTTCCCCATTGTGGTCCCAGAGGCATGTTGAGCTATCATTGTATTGATCCTCACAGGCCTCCAGGGTGGGTGCTGCTGACCAAGAAAGGGCATGCTGAGCTTGTCATCATGTTGGTCCTTGCAGGCCTGCAGGGGTGGACAATGCTGACCCGGAACACAGGCTCTGGGGTGATTGTTTCCTGCCACCTGGCAAGGTGACCCTGAAGTGGGCCAAACTTCCCAAAGCCCATATTTTTTGCCCACCCTATGTCTGAGGGAGGTTCTGCCTACTGGGGGCCTCTTGGGGATCAGATGACTACCAGCTGATCCCAAGTAGCTCCTAGGCCTCGTGGGTGACCTGGCTCCGGCCTTGACTGCTGTCTCTTCTCCCCACAGAGGATGGAAGGGGCAAGCTGCGGCTGCCAGCCAAGGCCAAGAGTGACCGAAAGAAGAAGAGCTACGGCCCACTGCCTCTGCAGCCACCACCCACTCCTGTCCCCATCCCTGCTGAGGAGGCACTGGGGCCACTGCCCCCACTGGATCCCCCAGTGCTGGGCTCTGCGGTCATAGAAGAGAGCCCCCCACCAGCGCTCCTCAACGTCGTGCCCCCTGAGGTGCCCAGTGAAGAGCTCGAAGCCAAGCTGCGGCCTATCATTCCCATGCTATATGTGGTGCCACGGCCCACTAAGGTGGCAGTTGACCAAGACCATGTGTCCTGCCAGCAGGCTTTTGAGCACTTTGCCCAGAAGGGTCTGACCTGGAAGGAGCAGGCCTCCCCCATGGAGCTGACAGGGCCAGAGGAGATTGGAGCAGGCAGCGGGGCAGGTCGACCTGAGACCAAGGCCCGGACTGGAGAGATGCAGGTGGGGAAGAAGGCACAGGCAGGGTAGGGTGGGGAGGGGTGTTGGCTAGGTGGGCCCAGCCAGGAAGGGGCCGTTCCTGGACCTGCTCATCCAAAATGGAGCCTGCAGCTCTTCTCACAGGGCTGGTGACAGTTTAGAAAATAGCATGGTCACTGTTGTCCCTTGCCTGGGCCCATCCATCACCCCTGAACATAGAAAGCTTAGGCACCACTGTGCTGCTTGTGTGGCTGCTGATCAGACTCTGCTCTGGTTCTGGATGTAGTGACTTCATGGGTGGCTGGTGTGTCTTGGTTTCAGGCACCATCTACCTTTTCCAAACTAAAGGTGGAGATTAAGAAGAGCCGGCGCCACCCCCTGGGCAGGCCACCCACTCGCTCCCCGCTGTCAGTGGTCAAGCAGGAGGCCTCAAGTGATGAGGGTGAGCAGGGCCCCCATGGCCCCCCCCAGTTCTTGTCAGGCCGAGCAGCCCCTGTAGCTCCTTCATAGCCCCCCCTCCCCCCCCGCGAACGTCTCCTCAATCTGTTTCCTAGTCTGGGATGCAGCCAGTAAGGGGCAGACTGCAGAGTACCTGGAGCCCAGGACCATGGGTACAACTTACCCTTCTGTGACTTAGTTTCCTTATCTGTAAAATGGGGACTATGGGTCTCCTATGGGAGGAGCCACAGAGCTGAAGCCTGTAGTTTGTGTGGCCTGCTGCTAAGCACCCTGCACACTGCGTGTGTAGGCAGACATGGAGGTAGGGGCTGTGGTCATCCTGGCTATGGGCATGGCTGGTGTTGCCTGTGCTCCCCATAGGCAGCTGGTGCACAGGCTCTGAGCAGACCCTTTTCCTACCAGAAGCCCCTCCCAGGTCTGGCCCGGTGCTTCCTGGGAGCTCTAGATCTTGGATTCCCCCTGCCAACCCCTCAGTACATGAGAGGACCTCAGCCTCCCCTGGCCATGGGACCTGCTTGCATACTGTACTGCTGTGGTCTTCTAGAACATATAGAGCATGACTGTGCATGAGGTGGCACACAGGCCACTGTGAGCAATGAGCAGAGATGCTGGCCACCCCCTTCAGGTGGAAGTTGTAGAAATGGGGTCAGAGGGTGGCACCTGTGGCTCAAAGGAGTAGGGCGCCAGCCCCCTATGCCAGAGGTGGCAGGTTCAAACCCAGCCCCAGCCAAAAAGGAAAAAAAAAGAAGAGAAAAGAAATGGGGTCAGAGTTTAAGGGTCAGAGCTAGGCAGGGCCTGAGAGCTCAAAAGTAGAGCTAGCCAGTACCCTCCCACCCCATTTCCAACCTTGTTTCCAATAGAAATGACATGCTCATTGGTAGAAAGCTCCTTCTGTTGTGTGACAAAAGGAAAACCTCTTTTATATGGGTCTCCCCAGGCAGATGGTTACTCCAGCAGGTTGTTACCCTGGGCAGAGATACTCCTGCTCTGACCTGCTGGCCAGGCTGCCTGTGGCAGGTCGTTCATGGGGGCACATGCTCCTGATGGAAGCCACTTCCCAGGGCTGACCACAGACCAGTAGGGCCTTGGGGAGACTGGAATAAAAGGCTGTGACCAGACTGGCTCAGGAGGGGAGGAGATAGAGGCTCTTCTGTTTAACACTCAGCTGAGACTCGCTATCCTGTGTGCAGAAATCCTACTAAGCCAACTTTTCATCTTTCACTTCAGTCTCTCACCAAAGAAGCACATAGAATTTGAAAATTGTCCAGGGGTGGCACCTGTGGCTCAAAGGAGTAGGGCGCCAGCCCCCTATACTGGAGGTGGAGGTTTCAAACCTGGCTCCAGCTGGAGCTCCTGGTGTGGCAGGATCTGGCAGGCTGCCTCTGGAGGGCTTCTACCCAATAGCTTGGTCTCCTTCCCCTGGGGACTTCCCCACTCTCAGATCCCTAATGTGTCTTTTTGGTCAGGCCAGAGCTTTTGCATAGCCCCCAGACCCAGTGTGCATCCTGGGCTCTTTGGTGATGAAAGGAAGCCAGTGGCTCCATCCTTACCCCTAGGTGTCCCGGGGGTGCTTGGGGTCTTCCTTGGACTCAGCTGGCTGGACCACCTGGCCTGGGTTCTTGGGCCAGGAGTCTTGGCCTGAGGCTTCCTGAGTCAGGTTGTGCTGACCTCCCTGAGGTGAGGAACTAGGCCTGGCAGGCCAGACTTCCATTGAGCTGTGCTAAGGCTTGGGCTGCAGGAACAGTCACCCCACTTGTGGATAGCACTCCTGTTTTGTGTCCACATGGGGAGATTGGGGAACAGTGGCTGATAATGTAGGCCATCTGAGTTTAGCTAGGGACAGGTGACAGGCCAGGTGGAAGAGACTACTGTGGCTTCTTGCAGGCAGTGTCCACCAGCAGGTCGAGACCTGCATGGCTGCCTCCCTTGTGTGTGCCTCTGGGCACCTCACTGGCTTCCTAGGGCTCAGGTAGTCTGCTGAGCTCACATGCTCCCTGGCAGGCTGACCTGGGCCCCAGAGGTGAGAAAGGAGGTGATGGTCCCAACGTTTCATTGGTGATTGCCAACCTGTGCACAGACCTCAGAGCAGGCACAGACCAACAGGGCAATCTGGCCATGGAATTTTAGCTAGTCCTTGACTAGGAAGGCCCTGGGCGAGTGGGCAGCTCCAAATGTGTAGGGAGGAATAGAAGCCCAGGGTGGGGGCTCAGAGGTGGTGCTGGGGAGACCCCAGGGAGCAAGGTAGATGTGACCCTGCCTGTTCATGGAAACACGAACATTATGGTGCCAGCCAGGGTGGGTGCTATAAAGAGCCCCCCAGATGATTCTTGGATGTTCTTCCTGTGCTTAAGCTTCTCCCCTCCCCTCTCCTCTCCCTTCACCCATCTAATTTTAGAAGCATTCCCTTTTTCTGGAGAGGAGGATGTGAGTGACCCCGAGGCCTTGAGGTCTCTGCTGTCCCTGCAGTGGAAGAACAAGGCAGCCAGCTTCCAGGCTGAGAGGAAGTTCAATGCAGCAGCAGCCCTGACGGAGCCCTACTGCGCAATCTGCACTCTCTTCTACCCCTACAGCCAGGTGGCTGCTGTGGGCCCTGGGCATGGGGACCCCGTGGGGAGGCTCTGCAGGATCTGCCACTTTACCTGCAGAGAACCCCAAGTGGGGTCAGTGGAGGGGTGGGGAGTCTATTTGCTGCAGGAACCACAGATGGCTTAGGTGCTGGGCTCTTGCCATGTACCCCAAGAGGGGGCTCCTGTCCTGCACCCTGGTGTTCTAGGGGCCCGGGGGGCGGGGGGCTGCAGAGAGCCCAGTCTCCTCATTGTATTAGGATGTCTGTGTCATGAGCAATGAGGGTGGTTGGTGCAGGGGTGGAAGGCTAGGTTGATGACCTCAGCAGGCACCATGACCTAAGGGGCAGAGCAGCTAGGAGTAGCCTAGAGGGTACCGTGCAATCCTTGTGTGCTGTTGGCCAAGTGGGGCACCCTTGTCCACAGTCCTGTGTCTGGCAGCCTCCTATCTTCTGAGGGCTGGGGACCTAGCTTCCAGCCACCCAGCCCTGCCGGTTTTGGTTTTCCTTTGAGGAGTTCTCTTTTCTCCTAGTTTTCTACATCCCCAGGGCAAGACCATGCCCGCTTGTTCTGTGCCCCTAGCTTCTGTCCCCAGCTGGGTGTTTTTCTAGGCATTAGCTATGCTGTGTCTGATCTGGAGAGATAGCAGATGAGGGTTCCCAGGTCCCTGCCTTTGAGAGCTGCCCACAGCTCCCCTCTCTGAGTGGGATTTCATGTTCTGCTCATCGATACAAATGAGATGTATCTGGGCAGCTTTCCAGGTGCTTTCTGTCTTTTGTGCAGCTAGAGAGGCTGCTGGGAGCCAGAGAGGTGTTAGCCCCACTCAGCAGGCTGAGTTTTATGACTAATTTATTCATGCCCCACTGGCAAACCACAGTACCAGTGGGCCCTAAAGGCCAGTGTGGGTGTAGTATCTAAATGTGATCCTAGTGGAGGGTCTTCAGCAGGGCCAAGCCAGGCCAGGACTGTGTTTAGGGACTCCTAGGACTTCCAGTAGGGCTGGGAAAGGCACCCAGCCTGGTTTGATAGTGTCAGGTATGCCCACCACTGAGGCCACCCTGGAGCCCAGGGGGCATATCACACTCAGATCTCTGTCTGCCCCTGCCACCCCCTCCTGGGCTGGGCTCCTCACTGAGGCCACCCGCTTCCTGCAGTCTCTCCAGACTGAGAAGGAGATGCTCCAGCCATTGCTTGGGGAGGGCTTGTCAGCTGCTCCACCTTCCAAAAGTGGCCAGAAGACCCGGCCCCTGATCCCTGAGATGTGCTTCACCTCCGGCGGTGAGAACACAGAGCCGTTGCCTGCTAACTCCTACATTGGCGAGGATGGGACCAGCCCACTGATTGCATGTGCCACATGCTGCCTGCAGGTCCATGCCAGTGAGTGCCTCATCCCTCAGGGGTCCAGGAGGCTGTGGGTGCTCTAAGGGGTGGTGGGAGGGACCTGTGCCCTAGGCGTTGGGTGGCTGGCTAGCCCCTTACCCTGGGTGACTGCTAGGGCTGTCACAGGACCCCCGGGCAGGACTTCCACTGGCCTTCTCGTCCTTCCTGTAACGGCCGGTGGTCTTGAGTCTCATTATCTAGGGCAGGGTGGCCCTGCTCTTGGGCCACGCTGGCTCACTGAAGACAGCCCAGTGCTCTGGGCTACTGCAGGTCCCTAGGTGCCAGAGAGGACCATAGAGCCCAGGGCCCTGACCTCTAATGAGGCCTCTCTGGAAGAAAGCATCATGCACTGGGGTACTTTTCTCACCCTGACCTGCCCCTTAGATGGGGGCACTCACCTAATGTAAGGCCCAAGAGGACTAGAAACTTGCTTCTTCTCTTTCATCAGACTGTTCTCTTGAATCTCTCTCTTTGTCTTCAGTGGAGGCAGATGTCCCTGCCCTTGGCCCTGGCTGAGACTAGCCTGTCCTAGCTGGCCCTTCTGGACAGTTCTACAGGGTCCCAGCCTCACCACCCCTTTCCCTAGACTGGGAAGCAGCAGGAAGAGACCAGGAGCTGGTCAGGGCCCAGGTTTGGGGCCAGGGGTGGTTGGAATTGATGGCCAAAGTAAGACTCCTCAGTGATCAGGTTTTCTGATTTATCTCTGCTCTTCACCACCACCCTTCCTGAACCTGAGAGCTTAGCATGGGCACAGACAAGAAAATGGATATAAGCTCCTTGGGCGTAAAGGTGGGAGCAAATGTGAGACTGGTCTCCAAGGCAGGGAGAAGCTTTCTGGAGACATTTAATTTTCTGTGCCGCAGCCAAGGGAGCCAGCCGTAGATCTCTGTCTGGCCCTTCCCTGTGGGAGGCCCCAGGGAGGCTGCTTTGTCTCCTGGTCAGGAGCCTGTCTGTTCTGCCTTTCTGGGCCCAGGTTTGAGACTGGGGGCTCCAGACAGCGAGCCCTCACCAGGACTGCCTTCCGTGGTGCTGGGTAGCAAACCTGGGTGAGGCTTTATCTGGGGTGTGATTCTGCCTCTGACCCAGTCCTAGGGCCTCCCCTTTTTCCAAATCTGGGACCATATTCAAAGCCTGGGTAAGAAAAGCTGCTATTGTTGGGTGGTGTGGCAGGCCCCAGATAAGCAGGGGTGGGAGGTGTCACCAGCTAGGCATAGCAGACCCAGCAGGGGCCCCTCACTTTCTTGCATCCTTGACATCCAAGACACTTCCAGGCCTTTCTCTGGCTAAGCGCAGTGGCCTGGATTAGGGCAAGGGCAGTGGTGAAAGCAGTCACCCTAAACTCCAGGAGGCCCTGCTCCTCTATGTGTGGTCTTATCTGAGCCTCAGGAGCCCCCACTGTCCTCCAGGTTGCTACGGCATCCGCCCGGAGCTGGTCACGGAAGGCTGGACGTGTTCTCGGTGTTCGGCTGGTGCCTGGACTGCGGTAACTCAATCCCTGTGGCAGGGGAGTGCCCTCAGAGGCCGGATGACTCTTACACAGTGACTGTGCCTATGGCCTGCTGCCCCAACAACTCCACCTATCACTGTGGTGGCTGCTAGGGTGAAATGTCAGGACATGGGTGGGTTGATTTGTGAATCAGACCCCCTTACCTGCACTGTTTGGTCCCATAGGAATGCTGCCTGTGCAACCTGCGGGGCGGAGCGCTGCAGATGACCACTGAGAGGAGGTGGGTGGCATGCAGGGTTAGGGAGCCCAACTACCTGGGCAGCCCCTTGCTGCAGTGTCTTGTCCCCACTCTGCACCCCTCCTGTGAAGCTGCCAGTATTGTAGGTAGGGGATGGGGTGTGAGGAGGAGCAGTTGAGTGTCCAGATCTACCCTTGAGGTCCCCTAAGCCCTGACAGGGCTGATGACTTCATCCTGTCCTCCTCCTGTGACAAGCCATGAGAGGTGCACCTGTGACCCCCAAACCCCCCCCCTCAGGTGGATCCATGTGATCTGCGCCATTGCTGTCCCTGAGGCCCGGTTCCTGAATGTGATTGAACGCCACCCTGTAGACATCAGCGCCATCCCCGAGCAGCGGTGGAAACTGGTAAGTCCTGGAGGTCCAGTCTGACTCTGCTATTGCCCACGGACCAGCCAGCCTGGCATCTTCTTCTGGTCTGAAGCAGCCTCCTTGGAGGAGCAGCCTCCTCCAAGCTCCTGTGTTCCCATGTGGACTTGGGTAGCTGTGAGGAAGCCACCTCTACTGCTGTAGTTGAGCCTGCATGTTATTTTTTTAAACCATTTCCTTAGGCTCAAGGCACAAAAGTCAAAAGCAGGTCCCCAACCAGGTGTAGCTTCCTGGTTGGTGTGTGTCTGTAGAGTTGATCTTTGGGCTTTCAAGATCTGTAGGCTCTGTAGAGTTGATCTTTGTGCTTTCAAGGCTGCAAGCATTGCTTGGACTGTGGGCTCCATTCCTTTCTTACTAATGGCTGACCTCGCTTACTTTTTTTTTTAATATTAGGTTATTAAGTATGAAATGTCTGATTTCCTTAAGTACTAACTCTGACGTTTCACTTTGACACTTATTTTATTTTTATTGTGAAGATACATTTTCATTTTTCCAAATGCATGTTTTGGCTTATAATTATTATTCAAATCTTTTATAGAGAAAGTTTTGCAAAACCATACATAAGTGAAAAATTGATGCTCAAATATGAGGTCTATTGTGGAATCAATGCAGTGCAGACAGCTCAAAACATAAATGAAGTATTTGGGGAGGATGTGGCTAAAGAATGCACAATACTTTGAGAAGTTCCCTTCTGGTGATTTTAATCTTGAAAGTTAGCCACTGCCCTGAGACCAAGCTGGATAATGATAGTTGAAAGCTGTAGTGGAAGTGAATCTGTTTCAACATACATGTGAATTAGCAGCAAGGTTTGATGTTACTATTCCAACAATATTCGACCATTTAAAACAAATCATTAAGGTAAAGAAACTGAGTAACTGGGTTCAACATAAATTATGCAAGCATCAGAAGAAAAATCATGCTGAGGCTTGCTTTGCTTTGCTTTCATAACATAAAGGTGAACCATTTCTATACTGCAGGCGTCCTCAAACTACAGCCTGCGGGCCACATGCAGCCCACCTAGGACATTTATGGGGCCCTCCGGGTGTTTTTGCCACCGCTGCCTGTCCTGCTTAGCAGCTGATTCTTCCCAAGGCCCGCAGTTTGGCCCTCCAACGGTCTGAGGAACAGTGAACTGGTCCCCTGTTTAAAAAGTTTGAGGACCTCTGCATACTATATTGTTACATGTGATAAAAAATGGATTCTTTTTGACAATCAAAAGCATTCCGCATGGGTGGTGCCTATGGCTCATTGGGTAGGGTGCCAGCCCCATATACTGAGGGTGGTGGGTTCAAACCCGGCCCCGGCCAAACTGCAACAAAAAATAATGAGGCATCGTGCTGGGCACCTGTGGTCCCAGCTACTCAGGAGGCTGAGGCAGGAGAATCACCTTAAGCCCAGGAGTTGGAGGTTGCTGTGAGCTGTGTGACACCATGGCACTCTACCGAGGGCGATAAAGTCAGACTCTGTCTCTATGATAAAAAAAAAAAAAAACCCATTCGGCACAATGGTTGAATAAAATTGGAATTGCTGGGCGGCACCTATGGCTCAAGGAGTAGGGCACTGGCCCCATATGCTGAGGGTGGTGAGTTCAAACCCAGCCTTGGTCAAAAAACTGCAAAAAAACCAAAACAAAACCACACACACACAATAAAGACTGTCTCTATAAAACAATTAAAAAAAAATTAGAATTGCCAAAACTAGATGTTCATCAAAAAAAGCTAATGGTGTCTTCTGTTTGGTGGTCCAGCATGGGTATCATCCATACAGCGGTGTCCAACCTTTTTGTTCTTCTGAATCACATTGGAAGCATAAGCATTGTCTTGGGCCACATGTTATATACACAAACATATATATGTTATATATGTAATGAAAGTTGATTAGCAAAAGAAAGGTCTATGCATACTTTTTGTGATATCCAACACCACAGATAAGCAAAAAAGACCTCACAAATCAGCATGCAGCCCATGGGCTACAGGTCAATCACCTTGCACTACAGCTTCACAAAACCTGGTCAATCAATTATAGCAGATATCTACTGCGATCTATCAAATGACTGATAAGGACGCTTGTGATTGAACAACAAGATTAGTCAGTAGAAATAAGCCAATCCTCCCTTAAGATAATACTTGATTAACCAGACACAATGGCTGATGCCTTTAGTCCCAGCACTTGGGAGGGTGAGGTGGGTGAATTGCCTAAGCTCACAGGTTCAGAGCGAGATCCCATCTCTAAAAATTAGTTGGGTGTTATGACAGGCACCTGTAGACCCAGCTACTTGGGAGGCTGAGGCAAGAGGATCACTTGAACCCAAGAGTTTGAGGTTGCTTTGAGCCACAGCACTCAAGGGTGACCAAGTAAGACTGTCTCAAAAGAAAAAAAAGTAGATAATACTTGATCACATGACACACAGACAACACTGCTCAAACTTCGGAAGCTGGACTTGGAAATTCTTTGTCATCCACCATATTCCCCAGACCTTTAACCAACTGACAATCCAGGTTTTGGGCCACTTCTTTTTTTTTCTTTTTATTGAGATAGGGTCTCAGTCACACTGGGGTTGAATGCTGTGGTGTCTTAGCTCACAGCAACCTTACACTCTTGGGCTCAAGTGATTCTCTTCCCTCAGCCTCCAAAGTAGTTGGGACTACAGGTGCGTGACACAACACCCAGCTATTTTTAGAGACAGGGTCTCATTGTGGTTCAGGTTGGTCTTGAACTCCTAAGCTCAGACAATCCAGAGTTGGCCTCCCAGAGTGCTGCAGTTACAGCCACTGCACCGACCTTGAGCCACTTCTTGTAAGGAAAAAATAGTCAATTCTTAATAAGCCTTGGAAAACAACTTTTGTGATTTCATCTCGTCTCGTTCTCCAGGTTCCTCTGCTGCTGGCTATATAAACTGCCATTAAGATGGCAGAACTCGGCTCGGCGCCTGTGGCTTAAGCGGCTAAGGCGCCAGCCACATACACCTAAGGTGGTGGGTTCGAATCCCCCGCCCGGGCCCGCCAAACAACAATGATGGCTGCAACCAAAAAAAATGGCCAGGCGTTGTGGCGGGCGCCTGTAGTCCCAGCTACTTAGGAGGCTGAGGCAGGAGACTCGCTTGAGCCCAGGAGTTGGAGGTTGCTGTAAGCGTGATGCCATGGCACTCTACCCAGGGGGACAGCTTGAGGCTCCGTCTAAAAAAAAAAAAAAAAAGATGGCAGAACTGTGTCGATAGTTTAGCACACATTTTGATTAATTCTACTGCTGCTTCTGTGAGATGTATCAACTAAACTTTTATTTCGAAATAAGACATTTCATATTTAATGGTAATAGTGGTTACCATGAGACCTGCCCTCTGAGTGCTGTGGACTATAGGCATGATGGTAGACTGTGGGTCCCTAGAATTTACCTTGTGAGGAACTAACACATTGCACCTCCCAAACAGCAGCTCCCTTTCATCCTACCCACAGCCTCTGTACTCACTATCCACCCTGCTTCTGGGTGTGCACGTGTTTTATAGACCTACAGACCTATAGACCTATAGACCTTCCTATAGTGGAATCATGTAGGATTTGTCGTCTGTGACTGGCTTTTTTCACTGAACATAATGTCCTCCAGGTTCACCCATATTCATCCAAGGCTCACCTAAATACGGCAGGATTTTCTTTTTCATGGCTGAGTAATATTTCATGATGTGGGTAGGCCATGTGGTGTTCACCCCTTAACCCGGAATGGACATTTGGGTTGTTTCCCAGTCTCAGGAATCCCACTGTCTTTTTGAGATTCCAGTTTCATCTACTTTGGATAAATACTCAGAGTGTGATTGCTTTGCTAGATCAGAGTCTAGTTCTGGTTTTAGTATTTTGAGGAGCTTCCATGCTCTTCTCTCCAGTTAGTACGCTAATTTACATTCCCACCTACAGGGTGCAAGGCTTCCCTGTTCTTCATAGCCACCACCAACACGTGTCTTCTCTGAACTTTTTGCTGATAGCTATCCAGACAGGAGTGAGGTGACATGTCGCTGTGGTTTTGATTTGCATTTGCCTGGCATTAGTGACTCTGAGCATCTCTCACATTCCTGCTGGCTGTCTGTGTGGTCTTTGGAAAAATGTGTACTTGTATCATTTGTCTATTTTAACCTGGTTACATGGTTTTTTGCTATTGAGAAGAAGGATTTCATCACTGGCTTCTCTAGGTGTACATTGAGCTGCTCCCCCCTCCTTTGAGGAACATAGCTATCCTTGGGCATGGGGATGCTTTGGGAGTCCCTCTTGCTGCATACTGCTCTTGCTGATCACAGTTATCCCTTGGAGTGGTCAGAGCTGAAACTATAATTCCCTAGCCAGCCAGCTATGTGACTCTGGATAGATTCCTTGACTTCTCTGTGTCTCTGCCTTTTTCTCTGTGTATCATGGTACTAGCAACCCCCATACCCCAACAGGGCCATAGCATTAGCTGAGCCAACTCTATGTGCTACCAGCTGTTAGCTGCTTGTCATCACTCCACCTCCTCAATGCGGCCCCACACATGTCATCTGAGCAGTACCAGTGAGGGAGATGTCCCTGCCCCACCTGTTCTGCTACTGAGGAACTGGGACCTTCAGGGACAGTGGTCCACACCCAGGCTCTAGCTCTAGACACTGTCCTCCATACTCTGGCTCCCTGAGGCCTTTCCATACCTGCCTGAAAACCACATTGAGTCAGCCCATGACTCAGTTTCCTGTTTGCCCTCAGGACCTTGTCCAGCCAAAAACTGAGGAGAGCCTGGCATAGGCAGAGGGCTCAGGACTCATTGGAATGCATCCCAATCACTGAGGGACTCTCCAGTGGAATAGGCTTGTCTCTCATCCCTGGAACCTCCACACTGTCTCCTGGGCATCAGGGCTCTGCCCTCAGCCGGGCACCACACAGCAACCTGGCAGTTTTTTCTGCTGTTTGTTTCCCTGGCCACCTGTGATAGTTCTGGGTATAGACACTAAAGACTCAACTCAGGCCATAGCAGGAGGCAGATGCATTAGGCTCTGGGGTTGGTGCCAGCTGGGAGTCCTGCAAGGACAGGACTGATGCCCTCTACAGATTCCAGCTTCTCATGCACTGATACAGGTACCCACAGCCTGGCATGTTGGGACACTGCACTCAGAGCCCACAGGTGCAGGGCCACCTACTCAGGGCCCAGCAGACAGCCCAGGAGCCCACCTGGAAGGGGAGGCCCAGGCCACAAAGTACAGCAGCTCACACCAGACCTGCCTGGCTCTGGTGATCAGGGGGCTGGCAGTCTAAGGGCGATTCCTCTGGGCGGCAGTGACTCAGCCCATGAGCACAGGCGTGAAAGGCTTCATCATTCAGGTGGAGTGATGGTGTGGTGCGGGCGCTGTGATAAATCCTCCCTCCCAGACGCTTTATGGATCATCTGACATTTCCAGCATGCAGCCTCTTCATTACCAGTGCTTGTAACGATGAATTAAAAATCCTTTTACACAAGGCTTGCTTGTACTGCTTAATGGAGCCTTGCAAGGAAGCAGTGGTTAACCTCTGCCTGCCCAACCACCCACCCCCTTCCAGACCATGGGCATCCGTCCATCAGCCTGATTCCTGATGGGGGTCCTGGTAAATGCAGACTGGTTGTAGCTCTGACAGCTGAAGCCCAGACCAGTGCTCAGGAGCTCTCCCTCACCAGCCTGGGATAGCTGCTGGCAGCTGGCTAGACATACCAGAGGCTTCCAGGAGGAATAGGAGGTCTGAGAGGAGCTCAGGATGGGGGTAGTTAGCACCAGGGACCAGGCACATTGAACCCACTTTATCTGCTCTCCAGCTTGTTTTGAGGTTTGGGGGCACAGAGAAAGAGTGAAGGGTATTCTCTGCCCCCTCAGGTGTTGGGGGAGTGTTTCCTTTTTTAGTGGACAGCCACCAGGCACAAGAATGTAGGTTGGGGACAGTGGTGGGCATCTGCTTCCTCTGGTCCTGGACCCCTTCCAGGCCCCCCATGGACCAAAAGACCCTCATCTCCAGCATGCATGGTATAGCTACGAGGCTCTTCGGACCAAGGCCCAGGGAGGGAGGTGACTTGCCTGAGGGAGTCAAGCATACTGAACACCTGCCCTGAGGCCACAAGTGTGGCATGTTGTTGGGGACCTAACGTTTAGGAGGTGGTGGCTTTCAGTGACCCTGGCCTTGGGTCTACACTGCAGCCCCAAAGCAGTTCTAAAGGGACGTGGTGCACGTTCTTCAGGATGAGGAAGCTTAGGTAACTTAGATAATGAGCGGACACAGGCAGCTGTGCACCAGGGTTTCTCCTAGGCCTGTGCTGTGTGGCTGGGCTGTCCAGGAGTCCCAGATGCCCATAGGTGACATGTTCAAGGAAGCTCAGCCATCTGCTGGGGTCATACTAGAGCCTTTGCCCCAGGAGCCCTCCAGGGAGTGAAGCTGCTGCTCTGGTGGGGAGGAGGCGTGGGCCTAGAGGGTTAACACCGTGTGAGTCATGTTGTGTATCAGTACTTGTCCCTGCCGGCAGAGAATTGGGTATTGACAGTTTAATAATGAGATCTCATTGCCATCGATTGGTGCTCACAGCTGCACTGCTGCGGGCAGTCCCTTTGCTCATCTGGATTTTGAACATGGTTTATAGAGCGATAAGGGCCCTGATTATTAAATGCTCAGAGTGACAGATATGGAGACAGTGCCGGATGCTGACACAAGGCAGAGATGACCTGCAGCTCTGGCTTCCGGGGAAAAGATCACACTCAGGTGCCCCCCTCCCCCATGAAGGAGGCTGCTCTGCAGTACCTTTTACCAAAAACTGAGATAAAAAGCTTCACTGTAACCATTCTCAAGTGTACTACTCAGTGGTTTTTGGTATATTCACAGAGTTGGGTAGCCGTCACCTCTTGTGTAGTTCTAGAACATTCCATCACCCCCCAAAAGTAACCCCATCTCCCATCAGCAGCCACTTCCTATCCACTCCCTCAGTCCTTAGGCGTCCACTTCTGTTCCTGAGGGTCCTTCTACTCTGGCTTCCCTCCTCACCAGGGTGTGGGGGTGTGCTATGGTTCTCTAGTCCTGGGGCTGGGGACAGTCCTGGGGGCTAGCAGACTCCCCGCCCATGCTGCCCGTATCCCTGCAGAAGTGTGTGTACTGCCGGAAGCGGATGAAGAGGGTGTCGGGCGCTTGCATCCAGTGCTCCTATGAACGCTGCTCCACCTCCTTCCACGTCACCTGTGCTCATGCAGCCGGCGTGCTCATGGAGCCCGACGACTGGCCCTATGTGGTCTCCATCACTTGCCTCAAGCACAAGGCGGGCGGCCACCCTGTGAGTGTCCCTGCCCACCACCCCTCTTCTCCTCCAGTCCCCCTCTCCCTGTGCTGACTCCTGCTCCCTCCCACCCAGGTCCAGCTCCTGAGGGCCGTGTCCCTGGGCCAGGTAGTCATCACTAAGAACCGCAACGGGCTGTACTACCGCTGCCGCGTCATCGGCACCACTGCGCAGACCTTCTATGAAGTGAACTTTGACGATGGGTCCTATAGCGACAACCTGTACCCGGAGAGCATTACCGTGAGCTGGGGCGGGGCTGGGTGGGACTTGTGGGTGGGGGCAGGGAGGAGGGGAGGCTACAACAAGGAAGCCAGGACCTGGCTTCATCCCTTCAGTCTGTTGCAGGGTCACCTACTCCCCAGGCCTCAGGCTGGAGATGCCACTCTGGTTCTCTAGGGATGAGGCAGAAACCACTGTTGGTTTGACTTAGGCCTACAGTGAGGTGGTACCTCCAGCTCACTTGGAATTTGGGGCAGAGGACTTGGCTGGTGGGCACAGGAGAGGGTCCAAGATCCAGGTGAGCTTCCAGGTGCCCAGGTGAGTGGCTCGAACCTTACCATCTGCCCTCTGTCCACAGAGCAGGGATTGTGTCCGGCTTGGGCCCCCTGCTGAGGGTGAGTCAGTGGAGCTACGGTGGACAGACGGCAACATCTACAAGGCCAAGTTCATCTCCTCTGTGACCAGTCACATCTGCCAGGTAAGGGGGACCTCTCTGCCCCCACAGAGCCTACCCACCCTGTTTTTGGGGGCATGGCTCAGCCACTTATGCCAGGGACTGACATGGGCCATGCCAAGTGAGGCTCAGGCTTGGCCAGCCCTGACTCCCAGCCTAATTCCAGAGCACAGGGCTTGTTAGTTCTCAGGGCTGAGAGGGACTTCTTTTCTTCTGCTATTCCCCTCTGAGAGATGTCTTCCCTTTTTTTTTTTTTTTTTTGCATGGTGGAATATGCCCCAGCCCTGGACAGCTCTGCCTAGTGGTGGGGAGGAGGTGGTGCCATCCTACTGAAGCTTCCTTTCCATGTATGCAGCCTAGAACGTAGTGCTCACAAAGAATCTTGAAGCAGGGTGGGTGTTGAGTGAGCCACAGTCAAGTCCTGCTAGCTGTAGGCAACATCTGTGTCCCTGATCTTTACTGTCAGGCAGTATCTACCTGACAGTTGCCATAACCCTGAGTGTCAGGGCACCCCCCCCCCACTTCCTGTTGCATAGTCCCACTGTGGGAGGATGGGACACCATCGCAGACCCCATTGTGGGGTCCATGGTGACCAGGTGTCCCTTTGGCATTTCCCCATTCCCCCATGGATGGCCCCCTGCCCAATGAGAAGTCTTCTGCAGGAAGCAGTTAGTGTAGACAGTGGTCTCTGGGACTGTGGGTGAAGAGATGCTGTCTGCCTGGAGCCTCCTGAGAGTAGACTGGAACTGGACGCTGGACATGGGAGGTCCTGCCAGGATCTGTGAAAGCGGGTGGAAGGTTGTTTGAGAAATCAGGCCACACACCTGCTAATCTGCCTCCCTCCATCAAGAAAACTGTGATGATTAAAAAAAGACATGAAAAATTAAACTAATAAATTCATAGCTGTGCTTGAAAACAACAGGGAAATTCATGGTGGATTTTGGCTACACATCCCAAAAAGGAGCCCAAAGAAGCAGACCTGGCCTGGCTGGTAAACAGGAAGCTGTGACCACTCAGACGTTCTCAGGATAATTGTCAAGTCACCAGACACCCAGGCAAGGGCAGTGACAGGGAGGAAGCAGAACTAATAGGCCTCAGCAGTGAGGTCCTATTGCACCTGCAGAGTGTGGGGGCAGGATGGTGATGGTCCTGTGCTGGCTAAAGAGTTTGGAAATCAGTGCAGGTGGTTCAGAAGGAAAGCAGGCTACAGGTTTGGGTAAGAGAGATATAGCTGCCACTATGGAGTGCCTGCCTACCCCAGAGGCAGCCATGGGACTCCTGGGTAGCTGGGCAGGTCTGGTCCAGGTGGTATAAGGTCTGCTTACTTGCTGGCCCCCCAGACCTTGCTCACTGGGACTTCAGGAGCCCGACCTTCCGGAACATTTGGAGCATGTTTCCTCTTAGACATGATACACCAAGATAGCTTTGAAATGTGCTAAGTGGATATTACCACATGGGGACCGAGGCCAAGGTGAACAGGCCCCTGTGTGACTTCTCACAGCTGCCAGGAAAGACTTAAAAACAGATTCTGCCTTAAAGATCTGCCTGTGGAGACTCACAGTTAAAGTTCAGGTTCTAGGAGGCCTCCAGAGAGGGAACTATACAACTCTCCCATCAGTCCATGTTTCCCAAGTTAAGCACAGGATGTTTCCTTGAGAGCCCACGTGGCTCAGGCAGGATGGTGAGCTGTGTTCTTCCTCTTAAGAATCTAGAGCGGATCTCCCCAGTCCTTCTGACCTAGAAACCTGAGCTAGTTTCATTTGAGTTTCTGGAACTCGCTTTTTCCTCCCAGGGAGCTTGTATCATAGTGTGCAGCAAGGCCACACCAGGGCTGGAGGGGCTGTGTACTGGGAACTTCTGCCCACAGCTGAGCTAAGATCATGGCAACCCTGGGGGTGGATCTGAGCATACAGACTCGGGGCCCCTGCCTGATTCTCCTCACTGCAGAGGGGAAGGGAAGGGACCTCTCCCTTTGGAATCAACTTTACAAACAAGATGGAAAAGGCATGCAGGGGCTGGCATGTGGCTCCTCTGCATAGCCTGAGAAGTCATTGCTGTCCTCCAGGACACATCTAGGAGAACAGTTAGTATCTGCATGTCCAAATTAGGGACTGAGGCCAGGCCTTCTCCTGCCTGCACGGGGCTAAGAGGCCAGTGGTACCCACAGCAGCTGCTCTTTCTCTGATGTCCACCTCTTATCTCTGTCTCACCAGTCCTTGGAGAATCACAGTGACCAGTGGGCTTGGGCCAAGGGCCACCTTGAGGCAGAGTCTGTGCTTTCTTGGTGGCAGGGCTGGGCTTCCCTCAGATGTCTGCGCCTGGGCAGGCTGTGTGTCTATGAGCTTTTTAACACTCATCCTCATTGATATTCTTAGTGTTTATTTGAGGTTTTTAAATTTTCTGTTTTAGAGACTGGGTCTCTCTTTGTCACCCAGGCTGGAGTGCAGTGGTGTAATCACAGCTCACTACAGCCTGTAATTCCTGGGTTCAAGCGATCCTCCTGCCTCAGCCTCGTAAACTGCTGGACTATAGATGTGTTTGAGTTTTTAAATATGGAAAGCAAGTTCTCTGTAATTGGAGCCTTCTGCTCCCCAGAGGAGAATGGCCACTGGGGTTAGGGAGTGACTACAGTACGCTTCCTAGGCAAAGAGACACGTTCCTGTTGCTTTTATGAAACAGGCCTCGGTGCACACAACTCCTTCAGGTGATAATGGTGCCGTGTCACCAAAAGAGCCCCAAGGGCACCTCTGCATGCCCAAGCTGGGCCTTGTTCCTCTTAGGAAGAAGTGGAGAGCCCAAGCTTCTCAGGGAGAGGAGCACGTGGGGTGGACACGTGTCTCCAATGTGTCTGCCTCTCTGAGTGAAGGCAGGCTGTGACCAAGCCGTTATCAGGGGCCCATGCATGAGTCAGGAGCCCTGTCCTCAGCCTTCTAGTCAGGGGCCTCCTGAACTTGGGCCTCGGCATTGTCTTGGCCTGACCATGTTCATCTCCAGAACTAGTTAGGATGCCACTTCCGAGCCACATCTGCCCATCCAGCTGTCTCTGTCCTCTTGCCCCAGGGCTGTGTCTGTCAGCCTCTAGAACCTGAGCTTGTGGGTGGCAGGGGGTAAGGGTGCTATCTCTCCCTAGAGGCTGTGGGAGCCTGTTCTGCCTCAGCTGTCCTGCATCTACTTCTGAGGGCCCCTTCGCCTGCTCCCTGGAGGTTGTATGGGGATGTGGCTAGGGTGAGCTTCAGCCTGTAGCAGGGCCCTTCCAGTGTACATGGCCTTTGTCAAGCAGAGGTGGCCTGCGTGGGCCACATGTCCCATCTGGAGGTGTCAGGACCTGAGAACACTGTGCCTGTTCCTTCCGCAGGTGGAGTTTGAAGATGGGTCCCAGCTGACAGTGAAGCGCGGAGACCTCTTCACACTGGAGGAGGAGCTGCCCAAGAGGGTGCGATCAAGGCTGGTGAGTGTCCGTTTCAGTCATGGGCACTGCCCCCAGGAGGTGTTGGCCACCTTCCTCCTTGGCCTTAGCCCCCTGGACACCTGTAGGGCTCAGCCTGTCCCCCTGCCTCTGCATAGCTTGATGCTGCCCTGCTTTGTGGAGTGGGTGTGGGGGTGCCCAGTGCCTTCACTCAGCCCACATATACCTTATATACTGCCAAACCTGGGTGCATGACCCAGGTTTCTGAACACAAACAAAATCCCACTACCCAGGTTGACAGTTTAAAAAAAAAAGCTTTCCTAAACTCTCTCTCATTAAATGGGAAGAGTGAGGCCTGGAGGCAGAGAGGTTTTGGGAAGCAGGTGGCCATGGCTGAGATGAATGGGCCTAGAGGTGGTTGTGCTTACTTCAGTCCAGCCTCAGAGAGCAGGCAGGAACAGCCAGACAGACTGTCTAGTCTCCTGTGGGGCAGAGGCGAGGCAAAGGTACAGGCTCCTTGCTCGCAGGATTGGGGATACATGTGGAGATAGGAGGCCACAGAGCAGCTGTCCCCAGTAATCGGTGGTCTGTATCCAGCTAACTTATTTTGGATGTCACTTGCAGAGGAGCAGTGGCCAGGGCCCAGCAGATCCCCACCACACTAACAAGGCACTCTCTGCTGTCCTACAGTCGCTGAGCACAGGGGCCCTGCAGGAGCATACCTTCTCTGGGGAGGAAGCAAAGGCTGCCAAGCGCCCGCGTGTGGGCATTCCACTCACCACCGCCACCGAGGACATGGGGCGGAACCCGGACTACTTGGCCTTCATGGAGAACCTCCTGCAGGTGCAGGGCCGGCCTGGAGCCCCCTTCTAGGACAGACAGCTGCTTGGGAGACCCTCAGCCCCGCCAGGCAGACCAATTGTGCCCCAGGCATTTGCTGGCTGTGACGTCCTGTCCTTACCTCCTCGTCAGGTGTCCCCCTAGGGCCATGGGAGCGAGCAGGACGCCAGCACGCGGCCCCGGACTCAGGGAGCAGGGCCAGGCAGGCTCAGGGGCTGGCCAGGGCACGTACCCCACTCAACTACTCAGAATTTTAAACCATGTAAGCTCTCTTCTTGAAAAGGTGCTACCGCATTGCCTACTGAGCAGCCTTTGAGATTGTGACTTCTGTACATAAATCACCTTTGTGAGGTTCTTTCTATAAATACATATTGTTTTAAAAAAATGCAAGAAAAAAGGAAAACAAAGAAAAGGAAAAAAAATCCCCAAAGTTGTTTTCTAGATTTGTGGCTTTAAAAACAAAACAAGACACAACATGTTCTTCTTCTCAGAACCAAGATTTGCTGAGAGATCAAAGCATCTCATCGTTTTTTTTCTGTTTGTTGTTGTTTTAAAATATTATTTGTCTATAGAGCAGGCAGGGAAGGAAGTGTGTGGTGGGCAGAATGTCCTTACAGCTCAAGGTGACTCCGCAGCTGTCATGAGACCAGCAGTGGTCCAGGAGGGTGGGTAGGTGGAATGGTCCAGTCACTCATGGTCTCACCAGCACCCTGAGAGTAGCTGGGGCTCCCTGTGGTGGCCCCCTTTTTTTGCCCCTTTGCAAAGTAACCACCTTCTCCTCCAGGCTGTCTTGTCGCAGGTGCTCAAGGGGCCTCTTTCCAGAGCAGGCTCAGGGTGAGGGAGTAGCTTCCTGGCTGTCAGGTGCCACTCTGAGCCAGTCAGCGGGACATGACCTGAGTCAGGCCCGTGGGGTAGCCCAGGGCCATCCATTTCCATGCTGGGCCAGCCTAGTGACCTTAGGTCTGGCCACCTGCACACTGCTCTGGTCATTCTCTGTGCAGGGAGGGCTTCTGGGACTCCCAGGGACTTGGTGCTTGTCCTTTCACCATCTTATATCTGGGAGAGAAAGTGGGAGAGCTGCTGCCTTCAGCTTGCAGGGCTGTGGGTTGACCCGATGAGACAGAAAATGCATCCTTCACAGCCCAGGCTTGGGAAGCACCTTCTCCCATGCTCTGTGCCCCTCTGCAGAGCTGCTTTACCCTAGCAGTCTCCTGCCCCAGAGGGGCTCAGGGGATAATTTGGTAGTATTTTTTAAAAAGTTTCTTTAAAGAATATTGTAAAGGTTGTCAGGACAGAGAGAACTATTTCAGGAAATGGAGAGAACAAACTAGGAGCAAGCTTCATTTCTGTGGTGGGGGAAGGGCAAGTAGCCCCGGAGAGGGTGGGGCAGGGGGGTGTGGGGGGCATGGCCAAAATGTGGGGATGTCCCTCTGCATGCAGCAGCCCCATCTGCGTGGCACTGCCACTGTATTCATATGTAGTTTGGAAATGCTATTTATATTGTCAAGAAGTGGGCAGGTGCCTCTGCAGCTCCAGGGTCCCCCTGGGGGTCTCTCTGGGTCACACTTCTCCCAGTTGTGGGTTCCAGGTTGGCCTGTGCAGACAAGCCACGAAACAGCAGGCAGGAGCCACGCATTTTCCCCACAAAGATTTATCTGTGTCTTACTATGTGCAAAAACAAAACAAGACAACTCACCCGCCCTGATTTTTTTTTCCCTATCCGAGATTAAGGATGCGCTGTATTTTTTGCCTAATTTCCCCGCCTCTAGGTTCATAATGAATTAAAGGCTCACGAGCACTGCGAAGTCCCACTCTTGTCATTGGAAGTGTCTTTATTTCTGATCTAATGCTGGAGGATGGGAAGGGAGGAGGACCCAGGGACACGTCTGGGGAGCAGCCCATGCAAAACCTCTGGGGCAGAACCATGCCTGGCATCTTGGAGGCACAGTGAGGAGGGGAAGACAGGGAGGAGTGGAAGGGTGGCTATGGAGGGCGTGGGCAGAGGATGGATAGGCCTGACACAGGTGCTTACAGGTGCCCTCTGGTGGCTATTTTTGGGGGGATAGACAATGGGAGTGAGAACGGGGAGCTGGGGATCCGGGCAGCGGCAGAGGTCAGGTGTAGTGAGAAGGGGGCAGATTCCAGGTATATTTTGAGAGCAGAGCCCAGGGGATTTAGTGACCAGTTAGAGCACCTGGCAAAAGTCATGAACTAGGGGCGGCACCTGTGGCTCAGTGAATAGGGCGCTAGCCCCCCATACTGAGGGTGGCGGGTTCAAACCTGACCCTGGCCAAACTGCAACAAAAAATAGCTGGGCGTTGTGGCGGGTGCCTGTGGTCCCAGCTACTTGGGAGGCTGAGGCAAGAGAATCACCTAAGCCTAGGAGTTGCTGTGAGCTGTGATACCATAGCACTCTACTGAAGATGACAAAGTGAAACTCTGTCTCTAAAAAAAAAAAGTCAGAAACTAGGAAGGGAGAGGGCAGATTCAAAGATAAGACCTCTGGGGTGCAGATACTGAGGGTGCTGTTTGCCAGGTCTGGGAAGGCTGACCCCAAGGTTGGGTCTGGCATTTTTTGGGCAACATAATGAATGTATAAGGTCACCTGGCAGGAGCAGATGGATGCCCATGGGGGATGCAGACCAGCTGCCCCCTCACCCCTGGGCCTTGGTTTTCCCCTTGCAGAACAGGCATCCTCTTGTCTTGCTTGCCAAGCAACTATGTCCTGAGCAGAGGGTTCCTTTGACGAAAACTTCCTCTGACTGCCCCTCACCCTAGTTCTTAGAGGTTCCTCAGGACCACCCTGATCCCAGCGTCCTCTCAACATCACCAGACCTCATTTTCCCCATCTACTATAAGGGGAAAAAGGAATAACACTCCCAAGTGTGGCCAGATCCTTCTCTGCAGGTGCAGCCCTAAAGCAAGGCAAAGCCGCCATGGTAGGTGGCCTCTGCATGAGACCATGGTAGTTTGGGACAGGACATCGCTATATACCAGGCAGAGTAAAGACAGTAGGAGGTCCCTGAATGTGTGACCACGCAGGGCTAATGAGGTCTGCACCCAGGCCCAGTGGGCTCCCATCTCAGGGCAGCATGCTAGGCTCTGCGGCCAGCACCTGAGTTCCCATTGTTTGTTCAGACATTGACCAATATTTTCATGCCTCTGCCATGAGGCAGACCCTGGGGAGATGGCTAAGGAAAAGGGAGACACAACCAAAAATACAGCTCTGACATGTGCTCTAACTGGCAAGAACTAGGTCAGAGGTGAAGGAGATGCAGAGATCAGTCATAGGGTCCTTTCAGGGTGAAGAGGGATGTTTAAACAGACCCATCCCCTAACAGGACAGGGCAGCAGAGAAACGTGGGCTGTAGTAGGTCATGTTGAGGGTAGTGTTCTCTGGCAGAACCCTGCCACCCACAGCCTGCTGGCCATATCGGGCCCCCTGCCTGTTTCTGTAAATAAAGTCTTACTGGCACATAGTCATCCCTACAGCAGCAGATCTAAGGGGTGGCCGCAGAGCCCACCTGGCCCACAGGCACAAACACCAATATATTTCGTTTCTGGCCCTTTGCAGTAAAAATATGCTCAGCTCAAACAGAGGTGTAAGAGAAGGCTTTGACCAGGGACCCTAAGTTTATCCATTCACCCATCCATCCATCTGTCCATCCATCTATCCTTCCATCTGTTCATCGTTCACCCATACAGCAGTCCACTCACCTCGGGGACCTTCTGCCTCCCCTTGGGCCATAGCTGCCCATCCTAACTGTTGGAAGGTCAGTGCCCACACCCAACAGACTGGCCCCACTCTGGATCTGGCTCCTCTCCCCTTTCTGTTTGAGTTCTGGCTTGAACCCCACTGTGGTCATGATTCATGGCCTTCCTGACTATACTGAGATTGCTCCACGGTTCCCTACCTCCTCCCAGTTACGCCACCCCCACGCTGTTCCCTGCCCCCCAGCAAGGCTGCTTTGGGGACAAAGTCATGGCCGTGTCTCCCTGGGCCCCTGAAGCCAGGCCCAGCTGGGGGACATGCCTTGGGGTCCCACCATCCGTACCTGGTAGTGTTATTTATGGATTAGATTTACTCAGCACTCCTGCTCTGCTAGTGGAGAAAATAAGAATTATTTGCTGCCATAGGCAGGCCAAGGGGTGACACACACAGCCTTGGTGGTGAGGGCAAGAAGAGTGAGCCTCTCATGCCTCTGCACAACCTTGGTGCAGCTGTGACAAGGACAAATCAGCCCTTCCTGACAGCCTCCAGAGGGTGGGGAGCGCCCCCGGGTCATGACGGCCTTCTTTCCTGCAGTCCTGGCAGTTGCTTTAGAAACACACAGCCCAAGTCATGGGGGTTACGCAGGGAGCTGGGAAGCAGCATGTGTGGATCGAGGAGCCCCCACGGGCTCCTGAGTACTCATGCTCTGTCCCTCATGTTCATGTCCTAGGGCTACTGCAACGAAGTCACAAAAGCTGGAAGCTCAGATCAGAATTATTCCCAGTCTTAGAGGCCAGAGGTCTGAGATGAAGATATTAACGAGGTCACCCAAGGTTGTAGGAAAGGATCCTTCCTGCCTATTCTGGCTTCTAGTAGCCCCAGTGTTCCTGCACTTGTGGCCACATCGCTCCAATCTGTGCCTCAGGGTGGGGGTGGGGGGTCACACAGCCTCTGCTGCTTTTCTGTACCTGCCCTGTGTGTCTCATAAGAGTACACTTGTCATTGGATTTAGGGCCCACCTGGATAATCCAAGATGATCTCATCTCAAGATTGGTAATAGTGTCTGCAAAGACACTTTTTTTTCCAAATAAGATCACATTCATGGGGGCCAGGAAATAAAATATAGACAGATCTTTCTAGGGACCCCAAGTCAACCACTGGATTGTCTTCCCTAATGTGGACTTGAGAGCCTGGGCTTTCACTGTGGGCTGCTAGCCTCAGGAGCCCCCTTGTACTTGACTGTGAGCCCCATGAGGGTGAGGACACGGTCCTGCTGCCCTCAGCACATGCAATGGCTGCCCAGGGTGTGACCAGCAGGTGG